CAACCCTGAGATCAAGAGTGGCACTCCCTACCCACTGAGCCAGCCAGGTGCCCCTAAAATGGGAATTTTAAAAGACTCTACTAAAACAAAATTAAAAGAAAATATAAAAAATAAAATAAAAAAGTAAGAAAATTATCTGCCTTGTCTTTCTTACAGGATTTTAAGGCTCAGAAAGAACAATGTTCAAAAATGGGAAATGAGAAAGGGACAGATTATTCTGCCATGTATGATTCTCGGTTATACCGGCCTGGCTTATTATTTGACCTCTGGGGCCTCTTCACCCGACTTCTCCCTTTAAGTAGCCAATGTTCTCACCACTATCAAAATTTCCTCTCCTGGGGCGCCTGGGTGGCTCAGTCGGTTAACTGGCTGCCTTCGGCTCTGGTCATGATCCCAGGACCCTGAGATCGAGCCGCGTGGGGCTCCCTGCTCTGTGGGGAGCCTGCTTCTCCTTCTCCCCCCACTCGTGCTCTCTAGCTCTCTCTCTGTCTCTCAAGTAAATAAAATCTTTTTTTTTTTAAGATTTTATTTATTTGCGAGAGAGAGACTGAGACAGAGAGCATGAGAGGGAGAAGGGTCAGAGGGAGAAGCAGACTCCCTGCTGAGCAGGGAGCCTGATGTGGGACTCAATCCCGGGACTCCGGGATCATGACCTGAGCCGAAGGCAGTCGCTTAACCAACTGAGCCACCCAGGTGCCCGTAAATAAAATCTTAAAAACAAAGATTTCCTCTCCAACCTGAAGCTAGTATCTGCAATTTACCTCTTAGAATAGTATGTTCATGGGTCATATAGTGAAAATACAAAAAATAATTGAGAAAAAGAAATTAAAGAAATTTTGAAATTTGTATTTAAAAAAGCGGGGTGGGGGGGGGCACCTGAGTGGCTCAGTCGGTTAAGCATCTGCCTTCCACTCAGGTCATGATCCCAGGATCCTGGGATCCAGTCCTGCTCCGTGGGGAGTCTGCTTCTCCCTCTGCCCCTCCTCGCACTCGTTCTCTCAATCTCTCTCTCTCTCTCAAATAAATAAATAAAATCTTTTTTAAAACAGAAATTTTGAAATTTGTATGCATCTATGTGCATTATAAATTTTTATATTTTGGAATGGAAGGCTTTGTCCCTCGTTTTATTTTGGAATGAAAACAAACCTGGACACCAACCAAGTGAGCTGGAGAAATGTGCTAAGGGTCCATCTCCGGGTACATTCAGTCCCACAGGCCTCCTCCACCCTTGTGTTTGGCTGGTGCGTTACTCCAGCCTCCTGAATGCCACTGCCCATTGCTGGAGGGCAGGGCCACCATCAGCCGCCACCCCACCCCACCCGCCTTTTTTTTCCTGCTCCTCAGCATCAGCACCTTACACATAGGATCTCTTCTAGCTAGGTAGACTGTCTGGTCCTTAAAAATGATTCCAGGCTCTTATTCCATAGGTAGGAAACATGAGCTAGTGCTAGGCACATGGGAAATACTCAATTCTTGAATTTTTTTTTAAAGATTTTTTATTTATTTATTTGAGAGAGAGAATGAGATAGAGAGAGAGAGCATGAGAGGGGGGAGGGTCAGAGGGAGAAGCAGACTCCCCGCTGAGCAGGGAGCCTGATGCGGGACTCGATCCCGGGACTCCAGGATCATGACCTGAGCCGAAGGCAGTCGCTTAACCAACTGAGCCACCCAGGTGCCCTCTATATTCATTTATTTGAGAGAGTGAGAGAGAGAGAGAGCACATGAGAGGGGGGAGGGTCAGAGGGAGAAGCAGACTCCCCGCCGAGCAGGGAGCCCGACGCGGGACTCGATCCCGGGACTCCAGGATCATGACCTGAGCCGAAGGCAGTCGCCCAACCAACTGAGCCACCCAGGTGCCCCAATTCTTGAATTTTTAAACTTATAAGACATCAGAGCAGGAAGGGGTCATAAAGATGATCTAATTCAGCTACTATCCTTTTTGTAATTTTAACAGCAAACACTTATGCAGCCTTTACTATGTGCCAAGTTTTCTTCAAAGCCCTTACCGTAAAATAACTCATCAATCCTCATAAAACTTCTTGATGCTATTATTATCATGCTCACCTCAGACATGGGGAAAACCGAGGCACAGAGAGGTCCAATAATGGAGTCTCTAAGACAGTGGTTCTCAGACTTACTCTCAGCCCCTGGAAGAAATGATACCCTTAGCAGCACATGATAAAATAATAACATATTAAATAAGTACACAGCTTGTGCTCTGCCAGATCTGACAGAGTCTAGAATCACGGGCACCAAAGATTGAGGGGGGAAAAAATTGGAAAAACCTTAACAGTTAGAAAATGCTACCAATTTTTTTTTCTTCGAAATAGGACAAGATGGCTATTACTGAATTATCATGACAGAACACCCTGACCCAACTTGCAGAACACCAGCCCTGCTGAGCCTAGTTTGAGAACCGAGATAGAAGTAAAATATTCAGAAAGGACTTCCCTGGGATGAGAGGCAGGCAGCAGGCATGGACTGTGTCTATTTCTCCAAGTCTAGCTTGGTCTCAGTGACCTTGGTTTTTCTAATACAGACCACAGTCACCGTGATGTCGCTGCAACCTCTCATTTTCAGGAAGAAGAAATTCCTGCAATACAGAGTGTATTACATGTAAATGCAAGTTTCATATAGCCATAAGTGTATCTGGACAACACTCTATAAATACCCAGTGTTGAAAATACCCTATAACAAAACTAGTGGACAGGCTGGAGTCCCCTGAGCCTTCCCCTGGCTATTTGGGAAAGAGCTAAGTGAGCCTCTGCCTACTCCCTTTTACAAAGCATGGATTCCTTTTATAGTGCAAATAACCGTTCCCTGACTTCTCTGCTTAAAGATCAGATTTCTGCACATTGCATTTTCCAAAAGTAAGAAAG